GCCCTGTTCAATACAGCGCCCCCTGCTGGGAGAGGCCGGGGCTGGAGCAGTTGTGGATTTCCTTTTGAAGGCGGGGCTCCAGAGCAAGGCCCTGCCGGTCAGACCCCATCCTGCACAGAGGAGCCAGCTCCCCAACACCACTGCCCCAGGTCCCAGAGCCTCACACTTGCCTTTGGCGATCTTGATGTCCAGCGCGGTCCTGATCAGAGCCATGAGGGTTGAGTTGAAGTGGACGGTGTTGTCGTCAGCCACAGGCAGGTCCATGCGGAGCAGTCTCTGCAGAGGGGCAAGCAGAAGCGCGTCACCCTCATGGCCCCCCCCACCCCAGAGGCCAGTGTGAGTTTCAAAACAGGGGAGCCCTGGGGAGAACTCTGCGGTGTCACCGGGTTCAGTGCTCGGGGGATCCCCAGCTCTTGCTAACCAACACCCCTCCCCCATCCCTTCTGGATGCTGATGGGCCTACGTGGGTGCCCAGTGCCACTGAATGAGGCACTCCCTTTACAACAAGCATCCTTGGCCTATACCTGTCTCCATCCAGCTGAGGATCTCAGAGTGTGTTGCTGGCATTTGGGGATTAAACCTCAGCCACTGGTGGGCGGGCCAGAATTGTCCCCATTTTAGAGATGGGGAAACTGAGGCAACTGTCTCCCCATTATACACAGTGAGTCAGTGGCAGATTTGGGAATAGGACCCAGGAGTCCTGGCTCAGGCTCCTGCTTTAACCACTATTCAACATTCCCATCCCAGAGCGAAGATGAGAACCCAGGAGACCTGACTCCCAACTACCCACTAGTCCACATTCATACTAAAGCCAGGAACAGAACCCCGGAGCCCTGACTTCTAGCTCCCTTCTCTAACCACTAGACACCACTCCCCTCCAACAACTGGGCAGAGAACCCAGAAGTCCTGTTCCAACCTCTAGATCCCACCTCTGCTCTCTGGGTTGCATCCCTCCCCGCCTTCCCCAGAGTTCTTTCCAAAGGGCTCACGGACTTTTAAAAAAAATTAAAATTAAGCTAAAGAAATCAACGAAGAAAGAAACACAAAGTCCACGTTGCAAGGCAGGAGCGCACTCGGCGTCAGCAAAGGGAAACAGGGGAGCGACAGTTAATGCTCACTGCAGCCGGTACCATCCAACAAAGCGCGTTCCTTCCAGGGCCCAGGCAAGCCAGCGCCACGCCAGGGCTCATGCAGCGGCATGCAGCATGCGGCAGGAAGCATTAATACGTCGAGACTCATTCATAGCTCTGGGCTAGACTGCTCTAGAGTGAGAGGCCCACAGGCTTGTGCTCTCGGTGCAGAGAATGGGTGCGTCCTCAAGGGGCGAAGGGAAGAAATGAAAAAATTGACAGACACTCGGCATTCCTCAGAGTTCAGGCTGTTGGGCAACAAGATGCTTAGGGTTGGATTGGGCAGTGGCCGACCAGTTAGTGCATTAGCTAAGATAAGGCTGTGGACCATATGGAGATGGGGTTGGGGGGGGGGTCTCTTCCGGTCTTTAAAGGGATGTAACTGACAAAGGTGGGGGTGGGACAGCAAAACAAGAAGGGAAAAAGACAGAGAGACGGGGGAGTAGGACAGACAGGGAGGATGAAGAGAAAATTAGCATGAAGGTCCATCCGAGCGTGACGTCCAGAAAACGGGGATCTGCAGAGATCAGCATTAAGCACGGAGGTGCTGTTTCAGGGATTAGAGTGAGGGGGCGTGCAGCTCCACACTGCCCCATGGTTTGGGGAAGTAGCCCCCATCGTCCCCCTCCGGGCTCAGGACACTTTCACCTGTGCTGTGTTTTCAACCTGTCAGCGATTGGGCACCCCAAGGCCCCAGCAATAGTGTTACGTGATCCTGATCACTGCTCTGTGGTTCGGATCATGGGACGTTTGCCACATCCCCGATCTAGGTTCAAATCCCACTTGGGCTGGAGTTGCTGTATCGTTGCCGGTCCCCTCGATACAGTTGCAAACAGGACCCTGCCTGATTATCCAGGTGTGGACATGGTATTATCCATGGTTGGACACACCCAGCCCCCCAGGTCTCTGCCAGCCCTTCCCAAAATGCATTGCACGGTGTGAAAAGCACCCACAATCCTCCATGGCAAAGCATGATAGGATATGGGCCCGGATTTTCCCAGAACATCCTAGCACATGCATGGCTCTGCAGGGAGGGAGACATGGACAGGCCAAACCATGTTACCCACTAACCTTGTCGAGAGACCCTGGAAGAGCCAGGTCACCCACAAGGCTGGGTGCAGCATGGTGCTCTCATCGGGCAAGCACCCAACACCGGGCAGGATGGCCCATAACACGGTTCTCTTGCGGTAGAAGGGACCAGGCTGGGTCTGGGATGGAGCTGCCTGGATTCTCAGCTCCGGGTGAGGGGAACACAATCAGCCAAGACCCCTTTGCGGGGGCACCACTGCTCCTCTCACAATGGTTTTCTGGACAGCAGCTGTCATGGAGGAGTGAGCCAAGGGAGAAGGGGGTGAATGGGAGGGCACGGAAAAGACTCAGCGGGTATGAGATACCCAGGTGGACTGAATGGAGAGTCCAGCAGGTTTTAGATAGAGTGAGGGGAGCGGAGGAGCAAGGACTGATGGGCAGGCTGAGGAGAGGCTACTGAGCAAAAACAACATGGTGCAAACCTATTGCACCTGCCGTCTGAGGAGCTCTGTAAAATGGGGAAACTGAGGCACAGCCAGGGGAAGTGAGCAAATGGCAGAGCTGGGAATAGAACCTGGGAATCCTCACACTCAATTCAATCCTCTAACCACATTCCCTCCCCTAGCCAAGAACAGAACCTGAGAGTCCTGATTCCCTGCTCTAACCACTAGACATCACCCTCCTCCCAGATGCAGGAAGAGAGACGAGTCCTCAGTCCCGTTGCTCCACTAGCATCATATACATCAGCGTTCTCCTTTTCTGATGGGTCCAGTTAATGCAGTACAATCCCCTAGTGTGGACACACCGTATAAAGTTGCTTATACCAGTAAAGCTATTCACATAAGGGAAAGGCAGTAAGTTATACTGCTTTAAGATGCTTTTATCTCAGTATAGCTGTGTCCACATTAGGAGTTGTACTGTTATAGCTACAGTCGTTAAAACCCACTCCCCTAACCGATGTGGTTGCACCAGGACAAACACCTCAGTCAATTTCCAGTGTGAAGTCCCAGGGTAGAACCCTTGCCTGCCCTGAGCTGCTCCATGCTGCCATCTCTCTTAAAGCCCCAGCTTTGGGAGTCATGGGACAACCTCAGCTTTCGTGCGAAAGAAAAAAGGAAGTTCCCAGCCTTTGTGGTGCTGGAGGAAAATGTGACCTGGGCGTAACTCTAAAGGCTCAGAAAGTAGGAGGCACAGACAAGGCCAGGTTAATGTTACAGGCTTTTGTTGGCATAGCTTGGTCAGTCAGGGACGTGAAGAGCTGGGAACCCGACAGAGCTGTGCCAGCCTCTTCAAACCATCCTGTTTGCCCCCCAGAACTCAGACCTACACCTCCTTTCCTTCGTGCATACCTCACTGGGCTCTCTTCAGTGTTTCTGCAGTGCCCATCACTGTGGGATCGAAGGCACTACAGTCCTGATTCCCATTTAGGCCCGGTTTACACAGTGTTTGTCCTAGTAATAGCACATCATGTAGGGGGGTGACTTTTCCCAATATCGCTACACCAGTACGCCCCCAGTACGATGCAATTCTACCAAGATAAAGGCGCCTTGTGTCAATATGGCTTATTCCCCTTCCCACATGGGAATAGCCACAAGGCACCTTCACATCCATGTAGCAGTGGCCCTACTAGGAATCGTAACAAAACCACACCCCGACGGCGTTAAATGGGTGTCAGCGTGGGGAGCCAGGCTCAGGCTTACGCCAGAAAAAGTTGCCGATCCAGTAACAACACTTAGGGATGTGATTTTTTTTAACGCGATTTCTATATTGGCAAAAGCCCTCGTCTAGACATGGTGACACCGGCAGAGAAGTCTTTTGCCAATACAGCCGATTTCATTTGGGGAACTGGTCTAAGCTGTCTCGGCAGGCGCTGCGTCTCCGGCAGGCAGGCTTGCCAGGATAGCTCATAGACCTGGCCTAAAGTGGATGCGAGAGTCAGGCCCTGACACAACTTGGTCCTTAGAAGCCCCTGCCACCCGGCTGCGTGTGATCCTGGCGGGCCCTGCAGCAGCGGGAGCTGTTCCTTTAGCTCAGATGGGAGAGGCCTGTGGTTCAGGTGCTGGAAGGACTCAGGTTCTATTCTGGCTGGCAGCCTGGGATAGGGGCAGGAGCAAACTCTCTGCTTCTGAGAACGCACCCCGGGACCAGCCTTCCCAAGCCTGGTGTCGGGACAATGCACTTTGCCAATGGGCTGAACCCTATTGGGCAAGGACAGACAGACGCACAGGGACACCACACATGGGGGAGAGACACGGTGAGCTCTGGGTGGCTGAAGGAGCAATGAAGGGGAAGCAGTGGGTTATGGATCCACGGTCATAAATGGGAACCCTCCAAAACTGCCCTGTAGGGCAGTTCTAGCTTCCAAGCGGGGGGAAAGGCAGGAGTGGGGGCGGGGGAGAGAATGGAGGCGAGGGGAGAACCAGAGATGGGAAAGACTGAATGTGACGGGAAGAGGAGAGAAGCTGCTAGACAGGTTAGAACTGCATTGACAGAGAAAGGAGTCCCGGGATGAAAAGGGGGCAAGAGAGAAAGTTAGTAGCTGTTAATATTGTCTCTGGTGGAGGATCTTTTTGAAAGCAGCACAAGGGAGTTCCCCAGAGGGCTGATTACAGATGGGGACCAGCTTTGCGGGCAGAGAACAGGGGCTTTCGAAGGAGGTGACTCGCCAGAGCTAAGACACCTGCTGGGTGAGCCCTTCTGAGAAGACCTATCGCATGCCCTAGGCCTTGTGAGCGAGCCTGGAGGTCACAAGCGATTGGGCTCTGACATTGGCACCATGTTCAGCCCTGGCCTGAGCAGACTCATCTGCAACTGACGCTGCTGCAGCTTCACCTGTTTAATCCCAGGGATGAATTTAGCTCCTGCCAAGCTGGGTAGAGCCCTGCACCTATGTGGAAGCCCACTGATTTCTCTGCTTGTCTCTGTGGGGAGAGTGACCGGCACAGCTATGGTAGCATCACTATTCCGCTGCAGCTAGAACGATAACACCACCACCGAGCTCTTCTCCATCAGATCGCAAAGCAGGTAACCACCGAGGTCGGTCTCATCATCACCGCGGCACAGAGAGGGGAAGCGACTGGCCCACAATCACCCGGCAGAGCTGGAACCCAGCTCTCCCGAGTCCCAGTCCAGTGGCTCTCCCCTCTAGGCCACACTGCCAAATTCACACTCTACCAGATTCAACAAGAACTTCCCTCTGCAGACAAGCCCTGAGGCCACCGCTCCAGGTCACTGACTTGAGCTAAACAAAACCCAGCCTGGTTTCAAGTCCACACAGCCTTTCCCACTGGTTTTTCATAGAATTTCAATCCTAGATCCTGTGGCCAGAGGGGCCCATTTCAACCATCCGGTTTGACCCTCCTGTAGAACTCAGGCCACAGGACTTCCCTGAATTAATTCCTGTTTGAACTCAAGCCGATATTTTAGAAAAAAACATCCAATCTTGATTTAAACACGGCCAATGCTGGAGAATCCATCCCAAGCCTTGGTAAATCGTGCCAACGGTTAATTAATGCGTTAAAAACGTGTGCCTAAATCTACACCTGTCCAGCTTCAACTTCCAGCAATAGGATCTTGTTACATCTTTAGCTACGTTTCAAATCACACCTTTAGGCCTTGGGCAGGTCTTCACTGCAGTTAGCCCGAGTTAGACACACTCAAGTGACTCCTCTGGAGTCAACCCAGCTTGACTGAGAGCAACCATAACACTTGCGTTGCAGCACCCACATATCTGTGGGTGTCGCTAGGACTTCTGGGGCGCATGCCATGGTTCTTTGTACAGCAATAAGCGGGGCCACTTTAAGGATTCTTTTCCAGCGAACGGAGGGAGAACTGGTCTGTCCGTTCTGGGCACATGAGGGGGAATTATGAGACGGCAATGGATCAGCGGCACTCGAGCAGCGCTAGCCTGCATCCACATTACAGAAGGGTCATGTTAGCAGCTGACAAGTTGTGGGGTTTGTGCGTGTGGATGGGGCAATGCCTGAGTTATAACTCGAGTTAACTTAGCAGCTCAGACCCGGTGCGCCCTTTCCTCAGCTTCCACCACTACACTGTGGGAGAGTGCTGGGCCTCCCACAATGCACTGTGGTCAGAAATACGGTGTCACTGGTCATTGTCAGGCAAAAAAAAGCCAAACAAATCTCGTATTTTGAAAACAAATCGCCGGTCTAGGTTACAAATCACAACTGAGATGATTAAAACTTGAAAGAAACTAAGCATCTAATTTCCTTTCTACCACTGAGGGTGTTTAGCTTCTCATACTTTGAAAGGTGAGGAAACTGAGGCACAGAGCCGTGACTAGCTTATGTTCACCCAGCGAATCTAAGACACTGCAAGGAACTGAACCAAGTTCTGCTGCACCCCAGCATGCTGCCTGAATCACTAGGCACCGCTGCCTCCAAGAGCCAATTTCACTTCCAGGATCTAACCCCCAGCTGCAATGTTGGAAACACTGCAGTCGGATCTTCGCTTCCAAGGAAACAGCTTCCACTGGATCCCTGAGAAATTACGGGGAATGCCTATGGATGGTAGACTGGGTGAAACCTAAGCGTTGGCCAGATTTCCCAGTGCTCAGCACTCACCACTGGACCCAGATTGTCCAATGAGGCCAGAACTCAGCATCTCACTCCTGCGTAGGCGTCAGAATGTTTGAAAATACGGCTACTTATTTCAGTGCCCGAGCGCTCGTCTACCTGGGGCAATTTCCCAGTGTAACTACGCTGGTATACCCATACCGCGAGCGTCACACCAGTGCAACTCCCAACTCTTATTCCGTAATCAGAGGGCCTTTGTCTGGTTTCTGTTGCTTGTTCCAAGTAACCCAGAGAAAGGCACTCTGTCGGAATTCGAGGGTCCACATGGGGCGTTATACCAGTCAATGTCTCTCTGTAAACAGACTCCAAATCGGTGCTGAGCTCTTTTGAAAACTCTGGCCTGTATGTTTATACAGCGCCAAGGACAATGATCCCCGATCTTGACTGCGATGTCTACGAGCTCCTCTGATGCTAATGGGAGCGACCCTTTAAAATTCACTGCCTTTACTGTGCCCTCCCACTCCAGGCCTTGCAATCAGTCCTCACTGATCATTCCGGGAAAGGAATGGACCAGATACTCTGAGCCATGGTGCCGCTGTATCACCTGAATCGCCTTTCCTTCCCTGGCCAACCTATTCGATTCTCATCCTGGGCCTGACCTAAAGCACAACGAACTCAGTGGAAAGTCTCCCACTGACTTCAGTGGGTTCTAGATCAGGCCCACAAGGGATATATGACCCCTGACCTCTTCCCACTGTCCAGCTTTGAACTGCAACCTTTCAATTTCCAGCCACCTGTCTCCCACCCACTGAGGAAATCTTTAATGACTGACGTGACAGGTCGGTCAGAGCTGTACAGATCATCCTACAGAGAAGGGTTTGACAGGGGCGGGGTGGGGGAATTCAACGTTTTAAAGCAATGTCTCTTCCACCGAATGAAAAAAGGAAGGGAAGAAGGAATCCTTAAAAAGGGGCTTGTAGAGAATTAACATGCACCTTGGACTTCAGTTCTTACCCACCCCAGCTGCCTTGCCATAATGGAGTCTCTGAAACATGAAATGCTAACGGACTCAAACGGACACACCGTACTATTTAAGAGATTTGATCAAGGAAAAAAAACACAAAGAAATGTATAAAAAGATATTGTATAGGCTGATTTTTTAAAAAATGTTTTGGTTAAAAAAAAATTAAAAAAAAATTAAGTGAATTTGATTTGCATGTTTTTGTCTTTTTAATTTATTCTACCTTATAAGCAACCCGGGGTGGGCATTTCTTCCCTAACCCAAGGGGTGGAGACATATGCCTCAGCATCTCATACATATCCGTGAAAGTCATCCGGCCCCTGGTAGCGGAAAGAAAAAAAAAAAAA